TCCACCCACACACAGCAGCCCTGGGAACTCAAAATTCGTGCTTTGAAAACTTCCTTGACACCAGCCCCTGAGAGACACCGAGTAAGAGTCATTAATTTTTGGAAAGGGTTTTACTGTTTGGCGACTTCCAAATTTTGAGGCTCACCATGTGATCAGGACTGGGCACAAGGGTGATTCCCGTTTTACAGGTGTAGAGACTGACGGCAGAAGCCTGCGACCTAGGACTGGAAGCCAGGCCTCCGTGGATCCGTGCTGAGCCATCTGGGCTGCAGAGCACAGCTTCCATTTAGGAATCCAGCTGTGCGACTTCTTAAAAAAGGAGCTGCCACATTACTTTATATCTGAACCTGAGTTTTCCCACCCTGGAATGTATTCAGGCACATCTGTGCAAATGCTGCACAGGAAGAGGGCTCGGACGACAGGAAAGCAAACAGAGGGTCCTTACTACTTGCCCTGCCCTCACCTGATAGGAAACAGGGGTGGGGGCTGGGGACGAGAGAGGCTGCCCCCACTCCCAGCCTGGCTCCACTCCCTATGCCTCCAGCTGATGGGGAGCTGCAGGGGCAGCAGCGGAGAGCACAGTTTGGGGTTTGGAAGGACAGGAGAGATCAAGCCGCAGCTCTACCACTGAAAGCTGGGCCTTGGGACAAGCCACTCAGCTGTCCTGTGAGTACAGGCCTCAACTTGGGCCTCACCTCCAGTGCGGTCACGGATAAAGGACGCGGCGTCATCCCATCACTCGCTCGTCATCCCATCACTCGCTCGTTGGCAACTCCCAAGGTGGGGAGAATTTCTGAAGGGCCACTCAAAGCTCGCTAGAAAGACAGAGGGTGGGAGGAGCATTTCAGAGGGAGGAGCGGCCTGGGCCAGGCTGGGAAGGGCCCCTTGGCTGAGCTGCTGACAGCTCAGTGTGCCCAGACACGAAGTGCAAGGAAGCGAGATGGGACAGCCAGGGGTGCCGGCGGGGCCCAGACCACCTCCTATAATCCTCATTAGGGGCCTGGGTGAAGCCGCTCAAGTGTTGAGAGCAGGAATGCGTCCTGGTCAAACATGCTTTCTCAACACCTTGGCTGCTGCAGGGCAGAGGAGCGAGTCAGGTGCGGGAGGCAAATTCAAGAAACATGATGGGGAAGGAACTGCAGACAAGGAGCCCGTTAATAGGGAAAGAGGTGAGGGACCAGGCACCAAGTGGGAGCAGAGGGGACCCGGGAGCGAGCCGGAGGGCAGGAGGTGATGGTCGGAGAGCGAGAGTCAGAACGAGTAACTGCAGAGTGAGAGCAAACCGAGGGCTCATCCAAATGGACGCTGAAGTCCCCAGCATGATGGCAGGGAAGGGGACAGACAGGGAGACTGAGTCAGGATTCAGTGTGGCACACATGAGGCCCACATGCCCAGCTGACACCTGCTCGGGGCACCAAGGTGGTGGGCACAGAAATGAGGCAGAAAGCGAAGGGGAGCCGTTATCATCATGTCGTGTCACATGCGGCCCCGCCCAGTCCTGAGCCTTATCTGCAAATGGGGCCAAGCCCTACCTGGCGTATTTCTCAGGGACATCATGAAGCTCAGGGCGAAGACATGAAGGTCAACGCCAGGGTTGTTGCAATGCGGACAGAGCAGTGGAGGGTCACGGTCACCATGGGGACGCTGCAAGGCCAAGTCCCCACTGAGGGGCTCACGGATTTTTCCTGTGTGGGACCGGCACCTCAGGGGGCTGCTCTAGGGCCTGACTGGGAGTTGCTGAGGCCACGCCACACCAGGGGGCGACGCTCCTCTCTGGGCACGTGAGTGGGCTCAGCAGAGAGCTCGGGCGACAGCTGAGGGCCACACCACTCCCGAGACCCCAGCCTGTCCCACTGGGCGTGTGATTCTGGGCTTTGAGGCGCCATACAAAGTAACTGCATCGGCAAGGTGGAAGGAACCACTCAGTGTGACTCTTCCAAGTGCAGGGCTGACTGAGCACTAACAGAGATGGTGGACGGGAAGCCACCACCGTACATATGACAGTGACGCCTCGGCCCCACGGGCTGCCCAGACGCACAACGCCCAGCGCCCGCACGCTCGAGCCCGGTAAACACCCCACTGCAGAGCACCCGAACCTCGCTTGACAACAACCCTTCCGCCAACTTCAAGACAGAAAACATTAAGAGGAAAAACAGATTTCCTTTGACCAGACAACTCTTTTTCCCTCAATAAGTAGGAACCACGCTTGTAACAAAAAGACAGCGCGAGCTCAGTGGGGAACACAAGCTTTATTGGCTGCAAGCTGTCCTCAGGAGCCCGGTCTGCTAGGATTGGATGTTCCCGGATGGGCACCCATGGGCCTCAACTAGGAAAAGGGAGGAAGAAAAGAGAATTTTAGGTCCGATGGAGGGTTTCTGATGTAAGATCCCTGGTATAGAGTTAAACGTGGGATTGTTATTCTGAAGCTACTTTCAAAGACACACTGTTTGGTCAGTAAATGTTTACAGAACCAAATGACAATGAGATTATATTGTACTCATTCATTCAAAAAATATTATCAAATGCCTACTACTACTATTCACTGTATACCTCATTGGTAAAAACAACATACAAGTTTAACAATTAGAAGCACTAAAACCATGGCATGGCAAAAGGAAAATTTTCATGCACTGCTGGCAGAAAAATATGACTGTATGTGGAGGACACGTGCCCTGGTTCCACCTTCAACTTCCTTTTGCAAAAGAAGTCACTTCCTGCCCTGCGCCCATTCTCCCAGCCCCAAACGGCTTTCAATGGAAGAAACTCAAAGGGGTATTACCTCCAGGTTTCCTCTGGCCTTCCGAAGGATTTTGTGGGTTACAACCACTGAGGAGAGAGCAAAGAATGGGATCATTAGATACAGGCGCCCAGGAAGACTGTGTAAAAGCCAGGTGCAGGGAGGAGGGGCCCCCTGAACCCCAAGTGGCACAGAGAATCCTGAAGCAGCCAGACCAGAGAGCGGTGTGAAGTCCCACCTGTCCATCACACACCCCAGTACCAAATAATCCATCAGGGAGGGTGGACCAGAGACACCTGTTCAAGTCCGTGCTACGCCACACCTCACAGCGATACCCAAGGTAGAGCAGAGCATGCTACACCTTTTCTAGACGACAAAGCGAGGCTCTGCGAGGCCAGCTGAATGCCGAGGTATCCCCAGGGCTCATCTCTCTGGGCCTGGGAGGTGGGGGGTGTTGCTATGGTGCAGGGAGGGGAGGGGCCACACGCTTTGGTTCCCTAGGCCAACCAGAGGAGCAGCGCTGGGACGGGGGATGGCCCACTCCAGGCAAAGCCCTGTGTGAAGGTCCATTCTGTCAAGTGAAACGTGGCCATGGCACTTCTCAGAGCAGGCTCCTGGTGACCCGGGAGAAAGAGCTCCGGGGTTCTTCCTCCTCGGCTGCCCGTTACCTGGTAGAGGAGCCCAATGTGGTTCCCTGCACAAGTCACGTTCTACCAGGACGGGAGGGGGTGGGCAGGAGGGCTGCGGCGGTGCCTCTGAGCTGTGTAGGGCAGATGCCCAGCGTATCGGAGCCCATGGGAGGAGCGGGAGGGCCCGCCTTTCAGGGCAGCGACTGCAAAGTGAGGCGGCTTCTTCCCTCAGTTTCTCTCTTGTCCAACACACACCCCAGCAGCAGAAACACCGCCACAGAAGAGATTCCTGGGCCTTCGGCCATGGTGCTCAAGGCTGAAACAGGCTCCCCATCAAGCTTCCCGGTGGCTCATTCAGAACAGGAGCCATGTGGTAGCCTTGACAAAATAGTTATTTCTTGCCTCACAAAAATTTCCATCTGGAAATAAGGAAGTGGGTTTGCAATCTGTGACACCAGGGGAAGGACAGGCAGTGCGGGGTTGTTTCCGCTGGAAAATGAACTTCAGAGGTGCCCGCTGCCTCTCTGTGCCCCTGCCCGACCCCATGCTGCAGGGCAGGGGCTCTACCCTGGGTCCAGGGGTATGCTTTGGGGTGTCCTAAATCCCTGAAAACTAAGTGCAAATCTGTGTGTGTACACGGACATATGCATCTTTCTGGAGAGAAACCACACCTCTCCTGAGAGTCACCAGGGGCCTGTGAACCAGAAAAAGCATCACAGCTGTGGGGGTAAAAATAACTGGAATGGCACCCACGAACAAGACCCCCAGGGGAAGAGCGGAGGCTCACCTGCCCCACGTCTGACGGGGCCCCCACATCTGAACAGCACTCCCCACTGCGATGAGAAGCTCGGGGGACAGAGCGGTAAAGGGCGCGTCCCAAGCCCAGACTTGCCCAGCGCGGAGGCGTGACTCGAGCCCAGGTCTGTGTGGCTCGGCACAGGGAGCCTTCCCGTCAGCCGAGTGCCAGCATCCACCAACCTCAACGAATACCCAGCCCATGCGGCACGTATGCCTGTCTCAGAGGCTAAAAGCAAAGCAGGTGGTTCCAGGTGACATGGCGAGGGAGTGACAGGGTCCTTGGGGCTCACAGTGACACCCTTTCCTTCCTTTCTCCTGCAGGCTCTGGGAGGAGGTGTCGTGTACAGTGTGGCCAGGCAGGTACCAGCCGCCCTGGTCCCTCACTCTTCCTGTCACCATGCAGGGAAGGGACAAGAGGGACACTATCCAACTTCCACTCAGTCCCTCAAAGCCAGAAGCAGACCTGTGAGGCGGGCAGGGTTTGGGGAAGTTCCAAGGACCCGAGTCATCAGGATGAGCCGCAGAGTCAGGCCTAGGAGGAGGAGTCGCAGTCCAGGGCTGCCACCAGCTGTGTGACTTTGGGCACGCCCCTCACCCGGCTCTGAGCTGAGCCCCCACTCTGGGCCAGGCCTTGGAGTTACAGAGATGGGTGACACCATCTTAGCATGGGAGGCGCTATGACACATTTGAGGTTTTTCTCACTACTAATGGTTTACCACCTCCATATATGGGATTCAGTCTGACGTACTGGAAAAAAGCAGCAGCGAACTAACATTTGCTGAGCGTCTACTCTGTCTCCGGGAAGGGTAAATAAAGTTTAGGAATCATGACATCTGGTTTTACAGATGAGGAAACGGGCAGTTTTTATCAAGTTGTGTTTAGAACCCAGGCCTGTCTGGCCAGTCCTTTGGAGTAACTGTCTCCACTCAGAGGTGACTTATCTGAGATTCAGAGAGTTAAAGTGATTTACTCCAGGCCTCACAGGAGATGGAGATCTGAACCGCGCTCACTACGAACCCAGGCTCACCGACCTGGGACTCAGTCGGGGCTCTGCCCTCCGGATCTGCGCGGCAGCTCACCTTCCTGAACCTACCGCCCGCTTCCGAAATGCCCTCACCGCAAACAGGGTGACCTTTATTGCCCCGTGAGTGTTTGGGGTGCCGAGACGCAGGCTGACTGTCCCTGGACTTGGGGGCTGAGCAAAAGCGCTGCTTCCTGCCTCCTTGCTGCTCCAGGAGCCCGACCCAAACGTGCCACAGGCACCTCAGACACGACCACAACTGGCACTGTCTCCCCCCAGGTCCTCTCCTGTGCTCCTTCAAGTGACATAAACCCCTAGGCCAGAACCCCACCGACACCTACCACTTGGCCAGAGCCACCTCCTGAGCCACCTCCTTCAACGCCATCCCCTCTCCTCCATAGCCCTGGGCTGGCCCTGTCAGGCCTCCTCACTGCCTGCCTGGGTGACCACCTCAGCCCCCGAAGAGGTCACCCCACATCCTGGCCCCTCCATGCTCAGCCACGGGACCCCCTGACACACAAGGACCATGGCAGTCCCCGCTGCTCACTGGGTCTGGCCCACAGGCCCTCTGTGACCCGGTCCCTTTCCCCTCATCTCTCCCAGCGGAAGCCAAGGCACGTCCTAAGCTCGTTCCTAAACCCTCAGCTCTCGCCCGGAGGCCGCCTGACGGGACCTTGTTCCCGCCCCTTCTAACTCCTACTCGCCCCTCCAGACCCCTCTGCTCCAGGGTCTTGAGCGCCTCTCAGGCTGCCCGGGTGCAGGTACATCATCCTGCAGCTCATTTCTGTGTCTCCCCCATGAAGTCAAAGCTCCACGCTGACAAGAACTGTCTCTTTCATCTCTGCTCCAGAGCCTGGCATGGGGCACCGAGCAGAACTCGGTGCCTGGCATCTCTCTTCTGCAGTTCAAACTCTGCCAGTCTCAGTGTTTTCAGAAGGCTCCCGGGGGGAAGGAGTCGGGGGGCAACTAAGGAGAACTCCTACTTGACGATAATCTGTGTTCTGTGCTTCTCAGAAATGCCCCAGAAAGGCTGGACTGGGATAACACGGCAGCACGAGGCTGCGAGTCAGCAGTTCTCCTAAGACGGGACTGACAGGCAGGCTGCCCGAGGCTTGGGGGCTGTGCGGCCAAGAGGCACTAGAAGCAGCTGGGCGGCTGCCTGCTCCTCTAAGCACGCGGCTGAGTGTGTGCCGAGGGCTAAGGTGGGGAAACGCAGCTGCTCCCAACCATCTCCGAAGCCCCTAGATCTGGGCTGGGGCCGACCTCACAAAGGTCATTGTGCCCCTCCAGCCCTGAGTCTCTCTGCATCTGTCTCAAAAAAGTGTCTCTCAAATCCGTGCCCTGCTCTGATGCCCACTGCCTGGCCAGAGCCCTCTCGCCTGCCTGGCCTGTGAATCAGCTCCCTCACTGCTGGGGCAGCTGTAGCCTTTCCTGCATGCAGATGTGACAGCTCGACGCTCGGCTCGGCTCCGGGTACAAGCCACCCTGAGCCTGCCACCAAAGGCCTTTCACAGCGCAGTCCTGGTCCCCGACCCTCCTGCCTCAACCGGCCACTTGCAGCTCTTACCCCTGCAACAAGAACTGCTGCTGCTGACAGTACAGAACCGCATTTCCTCCCCCTCTGCCTGTGTCTACACTGTTCCCTTTCCCTCTCTGACCAATGCCTAGCCTCCTTGCAGACTCAGCTCAGGCGTCGCTTCGTCCAAGAAGCCCACCTCCCAGGATAGAGCGACACCCTCCCCACTCCCACCACAGTGCTCCCTAGGACCCTACACATGTTCCTGTCACTCCACATGCCACGCACCGTCTCCCAATGAGATGACAGTCCCTGGCACAGAGGGCCCCTCTGTAAGTGTTAAGTGAATCCATTTGTCTGTGCGGGTCAGAAGGATGAAGCTTGAAAGAAAACCCATCCGCAGAAGGCGTGATGATAAACGGTCTGGGTTTCGAAGTGGGCAGTCCAGGGCTGGCTTTTTGGTCCTCAGAGGCAGGAAGTGGTCGGCATGGCGGCCGCCCCCCAGCCACTCACTTACACTGATCAAAGATGACTTTTTCCTGGTGCTTGCTCAGCTGCAAAAGCTTCATGGTGTTTTGCATATTCTTTTCTTGTTCAAACAATTTTTTCTGCAGTTTGGTGATCTCTGCCTTCATTTCTCCAGTCTAAAGAGAAAAGGAATTAGAAAAATGAACCAAGAGCATAAAACATCAAATCACCTAGGCAAGATTACAAAACCATGTAAAAAAAAATGCTCAACCTTCCTAACAGCCAGGTAAGATCCAGTGGTGATGAGGGTGTGGGGACAGCACTCACAGGCTGCCGGTGGACTGGGGACTGCCACGGCCCAGGTGAAAATTATAAAATTTCCACCTGATAGAAGGCGTTTAACCCTTTGGCCCAGCAATTTGCCCCAAGGAATAATACAAGTACAAGAGATGCCTGTGTTCAAGGACGTTAGTCTCAGCAGTGTGCATAACAGGAAACAATAAACAACCTGGTTTGTTTTAATAGGGGTCTAGATAAATAAATTATGGTGCTTACATACAATGGAGTAATTTGGCAGCTATTAAAAATGATGTTGCAAGGGCCGGCCGAGTGGCTCAGTTGGTTAAGAGCTCGCTCAAGAGTTTGAGCTCTGAGCAACAGCGGTTCGAGTCCAGCCTGAGCTGAGTAGCCGCTGAGCTGCCAACAGGTAAGCAGGATGGCTCAGCTAAAAACAAAACCAAAAAAAAAAAAAATGATGTTGCAGAACTCTATTTATTGACACTGAAAGATAATAATTAGTGATATAAAGAGACCAGGATGGCTACTGCATATCAGGCATTCCCATTTCATAAAATTGAATACATATACCTATATCCATAGATGAATATATCAAGATGTCCAGAAAAAATTTTATGACATAGAGACATTGTCAAAATGTTAATAGTGATTATCCCCAAGAAATGTGATTTGGAGTGTTTTATTTTCATTTTTAAAAATTTATCAGAACTGATTGAAATTTTTAACAAAAACTACACTTCTGATTATAAAAAAGTTTGAATGCTTAAATCTTAAAAAGAGATATAAAAGTATTATCAGGAAAGTGTGATCCATTAGGAGCATTTATTTTCATTTATCAGAGGTGAAAAAAGCGTGGATGGGCATCAAAAGCAGAGGCCCCAGTCCTCTGATGCGACAAACGCACACACAGAGGCTGTTACAAGTCTCCACCTGACTCGTTCATAGGGTCAGAGACACTCTTTCTTGTAAAATACCCTGACTCTACGGTACCCTGGCACAGACTCCTCTCTGCTACATCGAAACACCTCTGCTCCCGAGAGCAGAGATGTTGGGCTGTCAGCTTACAAAGAGTTACTTGAGGCTCTGTAACTTTGGCAGGTCACTCCCTGTCCCTAAGCTTCTGCAAAAGTGGAGGCGTGGCCTCGATGATGGTCCCCAGGGTTCCTTCCAGCTCTAAAAGTCTGAGTCATAAACAACCAAAACAGCCCATCTCTGCCCAGGGATCAGCTCCTCAGAACCAACCCCCAGCTTCCCTACAGCAGGGGCCTCACATAAAGGCCTGCTCAGAAGAGAGCATCCCCTGAATGAGTCGCTGCTTTGAAAGCTAATAAGCTGCGTTTCCTGAGAAGCGGTGTTTTATTTCCTTAGCCCTGTGGACAACTTCTGTGTTTGCAACTGTGCGAGCAGGTAGTCACTCCATTACCTTTTATAGGTAGGAAGCTTGCAAAAAATAATTTAAGTATATAATGGAGGAATGTAAATAAGTTTCTACATAAAATTGTTTAAGATGAACTCAACGTATTTAAAGGTCCACTTATATGTATTTTTACATAACATGTAGTTTAATAAAGCTTCTGTTTCAGACCCTACAGTGAGGACTTACTGTATATGATCTGGTTATTAAGTAAGCCCATGAAATATGTGTGTGAAAAGGGAGAGCTGGTTGTACGAAAACTAACATATGCTTCCAGAAAGACTTGATAAAGGCAAGTCGCGAAAAAGCACATTTCTGGCAAATTAGGTGTGGCTGAATTGACTATAAAAGTCGTGGGAGGAGCGTGGTCTAGAAGAAGTCTGTCTTCAAATTGCTTCGCGAGTGTCTAAGGTTTTCCTTCATCTTAAAGAAACAGAAATTGGAAGTGACAGACATACATTACGGATTTCGTTTATGAAAGAAAGAAAAGGTAGACCTCCAATCAGCAAACCCATCTTCAAAGGCTGTAGCCCTCTGTCAAAAGAATGGCAAACGAATGTACATTTAACTGTTAAACTAGAATGTTTAAGGTCTGTATCCATTTTTTGATTCCCTGCTTTAACCTACTTTTAAGATTAACCAATTGTGTTAGCTCTAAGGACTTCAGCTGTTCTTCCAAAACCGGTCCTAATTTAAACATCAGGTTTTCTTTGATTCTCTTCCTCATTCTAAGGGTCGGCAAAGGTGTGTGTTCTGGTCATGGCCTCAAGGCCACACGTTCTAGGACAGTCACTCTATAGTCAGAGCCTTAGTTCCCTCTGCAGCTATAAAACAGGGGTGATCCCTGGCCCAAACATCACACTACAAAACAGTGAGACCCAAATGAGATGGTGCCTGAAGACAGAAAGTGATGACTTCACCCTGCCTGAATGACCTCTATCCTGCCTGGTCAGCCTCTACTCCTCTTTCTAAAGTCAATTCAGGCATCACCTCCTCTAGAAAACTTTCCTGAGACTCTCCCTGCATCGGGAGTCCAGGGTGGTTTCTGCTCCTTTGGGCACCCACTGTGCCTCGTGCCCGTGCCCCTTCATTGCCCATCTCATGCGGATGGTAACTGGTCATTTACTTGGGGGGTTAATTTTCACCTGCACTCTCAAAACAATGTATATGTCTAGCCAGCACTTAAAACAAGGAATTTTGATGATGTATGGGGTCTGCTGTTCCTCTGAACTAAAATCTTCCCTGTTACAGGATGAAGACACCATGGTAAAAACAGCAGGGCTCCAAAGCCCTGCTCTGTCACTCCCAGCTGTTGTGATGATGGAGCAATGGACTTTCAGCTCTTACTTCCGGAAAAGGGGACTGGTAACACCTAATTCTCAGAAGGCCACCGTGAGGGATACAGTGAGACGCGGAGTGCACAGCAGAGGGCCTGACACCAGGAGCTCAGCAGGGCGCCTCCTGTTCAGGCCACAGGGCTGACTGGCAGAGCACCACACCCCTCCCAGGAGGCCTCAGGCTTCCGTGTGAGCTGTCCGCCTGACTTCTGGAGCTGGGCTGGTTTTGTTTGTTTGTTTTGGTTGTTTTCTTTTTTACAATGAAAGTTTTTAAATACTTACAAAAGTAGAAAAAAACAGGACAATGAACCACCAGCTACCCATCCAACTGCAGCAATTATCAAATCGTGGTCAAACTTGTTTCATCGACATCCCTGCCCATCCTCGCCCTAAATTATTTTAAAAATCAACCCTAGAAGCCAATCATGTCTCATCCACAAAATGTTTTAGTATATAGCTCTAGGAGAAAAAGATTCTTTAAAAAAAACCACACACAATATAATGATCACATCTCAAACAATGACAATAATTGCTTCATATCACCAAATATGTCAATGGACACATTTCCCTGATTGCATCACAATTTTCTTTTTTGAACAACTGGCTTGATTCCACTTAAATTGAAATACAAATGAACAGCATGTTTTGCATGTGATTGATGTGCCTTTTAAATTTCTTTTAATGCAGCAGTTCTCAGAGCAACCAAAAGGACTTATAAAAACAGGCCCCTGGGGCCCATTCCCAGACTTTCTGAGTCAGTGGGTGTGGGGTGTGAGGCCCACAAGCTTGCTTTTCCAACAAATTTCCAGGTGCTGCTGATGCTACTGGTCCAGGGAGCATGATTTCAGAACCACTATGAATCTGCACGTTTCACTCCCTTTTCCCTCTTTCTTCCTAGGATGAAAAGATGTTCTAAGCTCATATTGTACATTTCCTGCCCCGGACCCAGAATCAAACCATTTCTCCAAGGAGCCCTATTTCCTTTTAGTGGGAAAAAGTATTTAGAAAGCACGATTTGGCACTAGAGATGCTCACTGGTTCTGGATTGGATATTTTAAAGCCTTTTAAGTAAAGAGAACTAGTATAATTCTTTAATAGGAAATACATCATGAGTTCATACTGATATTTCCAATTCAAATTAAGGACTGCAGGATTTTTACTTCTTTGATTTTTAAAAATTTATTATATCTCTTCCCTGACATTAAAAAGCAACATAATTGGTTATTTGTTTCATATCATTAATAGAAAGATAATAGTTTCATAATATCAATACCAATATTACTAACAATTTAAGCACGGAAAACAGTTTATAATTTGTTTGCAGTTCTTTTTTAGCCTGAGAGTCTTTCCATGAGGGACACTATACAGTTAAATGATCGTTTTAGTCATTGAAATGTTTCCTCTTTGTGTAGTTATGCCCTTAATACGATATACACGAGGTTTGTTGGTTTCATCTTGCTATGAATGTTTAGAAATTGCTTTCTCATTTTGATTTATTTTTATTTATAATTATGTAAAGCATTTATATGGTTTCAAAGTCAAATTGACAAAACAAGGTCTATTCAGGGAGAGCTACCATCCATCCCTATCCTTCTACTCCTAAAAGTAGCCTGTTTTGTTGTTACTGTTTATCCTTCCATTTAAAGCAAAATTTATAAACAAATCCGTGTATATGTGTGTCTCTCTCCTCACAACTTTCTGAGATAAATGGGTGAACATGATCACACTTTCCAGAGTAGCCCTAGGCGCTCTAGGGGATGGTGCTTTATATGAAAAGGCAAATTAATGACACTCAGAAAATGCGAGATAGTAAGAAACCATTGGGATTGCTGGTGAAAACTTGGAAATCTGATTTACACACATTTTACACCAAGAAAAAGGCACTGTACGAAACAGGCAGGGCCAGAAAAGTGGCTAGAGGCAATTTAACACCACACAGGGGGTCTGTGTACACCAGCAAGCATTTGGAGCATCGCTAGGTCCTTTTCGTGGCTCTAAAATTCTATGATGCCCGAGTGAGCATAATCAAGTCCCGAGAAAGCCTCGGAAAGGAGCAAATATGACCAGTCCCTGGGCTGGCCTGCTAGCGGGGAGATCAATGTAACTACAATTTACATCCAGAGAGAGAGAGAGGGAGGGAGACACAGAGAGAGAGAGCGAGTGGGAGAGAGAGGGGAGAGGGGGAGAGGGAGGGAGAGAGAGGGGAGAGAGAGAGAGAGAGGGAAATAAGAACTGCATTCCGTCTATATAACAGACNAGGGAGACACAGAGAGAGAGAGCGAGTGGGAGAGGAGAGGGAAGAGGGAAGAGGGGAGAGGGGAGAGGGGAGAGGGGGGGAGAGCGGGAAATAAGAACTGCATTCCGTCTATATAACAGACATGTAAGTACTGGGAACGTGATTCCATGGTGGGTGAGCTGTTTAGTTCAGACACGCTGTGCTCTAAAAATCCCATGGGCAAACACGAGTTTGAGAGGAAATCATTCAAATTCATTCAAAAATATGAAGGCAACAGACTTGGCCCCTCACCGAAAACAGAGGGAGACAGGCATTTAACAAACGAAAATACACTTTGTGGTAAGAGCAGTAGTGAAACAGAAGAGGATGCTGTGACTGAGTGAGTGCACAGGGAGCCCTCTCTGACCTTGGGGTAACATTGAAGCGGAGGCCTGAAAGGTGAGACGGAGACAGCCAGGCCGTCAGGGCATCAGTGTCATCTAAACCTCAGACGGAAAAGAGCTCGCTGGGTTAGAAGAAGAGGTCAATGTGGGGCTCAACTCCTTGGGCCTCCCCTTCTCTCTAACATTCCATCTTCCAACCCAGGCCCCCGCCAGCTGCAAGTGGGGCGAAACACGATTTTCCTGCAGCATGACTGGTTACGTACTACCCCAAGCTTAGTGCACCCCAACTTCCTCCCCAGGACCCCAACTGGGAAATGATAGGACAGGCTCCTTAGAGCCTCCCAAGTGGAGAGCTGCTTCACTGGCACTTCTTTGCTGTGGCTGACAGATCTGACAGCTATCAAAAGGGGTTTAACTAGATGAGTAATGACATGGGATGCAAATTTCCCTTCTGCCTTCCTGCTGGCTTTTGGCAAGAATTTATAGGTTAGATAAATGAAGGGGGAAATATGTATCTGGTCACCAGGCAGAGTTTGAACTCCTCCTTAACCCGCGTGCCCCTTCTGCCACCGAGGGGTCTCTGTTTGCCAGCGTGGATGTTCCCGTCATAATACGTGTTTCCGGCAGACAAAAAGCTGGGATCACGACTCTGCCTGACTCCTGGTTGGTGCCAGCGATACAGGGGGTGGGGGGGGGGGCAGGGCAACTGTTCTTAATTCAGTCACAAGAAGTTACTGCAAAGTTGAGCTTTTAAGGGACATTTCAGTGGTTTTTTATAATAAATGATTCTCACTGAGTAAAAAAAAGGAGTTTCTAAGTAGTTAAAACAAATCTGAACAAGACCCACTACATATGATGCTGGAAGCTAACAGAAGACATTAGATGGTCCAGGGAAAGGCATCGGAACTGAAGGAGCCGGAGTAGAAGGGCATGAGCTAGTCCACGAGGACAAGCTGGGGCCTGAACCCAAAAAGGGAAATGTATCCTTTGGATTCAGACACTTGCGCTTTCAAACCAGCTCTGCAACCATGAGCATGGGCCTCACTCCCTGACCCTCCGTCTCCTCCTCTGCAGAGTGCAACCAGGGTTTCCCTCAACAGAGCCATGCTAGGAGCAGGGACAGGGTGGCTCAGCAAAGCAGGGGCCCTGGGCGGAGGTGAGAGCACCCAGGGAGCAGCCAGCGCGGTCCCCGGCACGCCGCTCTTAACAGACAGAGCACCTCCCTGCCCTGACATTTCCCAAGCTGATGGCACGTCTGCAGGGAGCCAGGTCCTGGGCTGGGCATAAAGGAGGCTGAGACCCAGGCCCTGGCAGCATCCTTGAGCCTCTGAATCCACATGTCACCACCCACCTGCTCACAGTGATGTGTGCACTGGCCATGTGTGGGGAGTGACACCCTCCAGAGAAGCGTCAGTAACCTCGCTGCCTCTTCCAGAATCAGCTTGGCTGTGTTCACGCTGGTGACAAACCTGCTCAGGGACGCTGAGTGCAGACCCTGCATGGGGGGACGAGAAGGTGGTTACATGCAGTCCTGAAAGGATGATGGACAAGCCAGCTTTAATGGGCAGCACACATCTCCACACCAAGGCCTTGCACTCCACATGCTGAGCAAGGGCTGGTGCCAGACGACACCACTTTTTTGTTCGTAAAGACTATTGGTGAATCACAGATCGCGAGAGAATTTCAGCGGTGACTTTAGCCCAGTCAATAACCGCACTTGAGGACCGCCTGCATTAACTATATGTACTATGCCCAAAAGATGGTCTGTGGTCAGACCACTCTGCTCCGCAGCTCACGGAGCCTCTCAGAAAGCAAATGACACCAACAGCAAGTGACACGACACAAAGTTTCTGTCTCAGCTGTCCCCACTAAGGCTCTGCTCTCTGCCAGTACAACAGTGCAGCCTTGACAAGTCCCTCACCCTCTCTGCAGGCAGAAGCAAACTCAAACCAAGGGATGTCAAGGGCATGAGAAAGCAAAGAACATGAGGCAGAGAGGGGAAAACACAAAATATATTTAAAAAAAAAAAAAAGAAATGAAAAGAACATTGTTTTCACAATAAAATAAAACAACACACCCTTTTTAGCTATCAAATCAGCAAAAAAATCACTTATAAATAAAAATCAGTGGAGACAAAGTGGTAGTGAGAGAACAGTATTTTGGGGAAGTGATGTAGCACGTTATCACAAGAGGCCTAAGAGCTCACAACCTTCGGGTGCTATGTCTACTTCTGGGAATTCATCCCTCATGAACTGATCAAAGACATGACCAGAGATCCATCCATAAGGGTCCTCAGAGCGTAAATGTCCAACAACCAGGTGAAAGTAAATAAATGGTGGTACATCCACATGTTAGCTTCCTTTCATCCATTAAAAGTCAAGCTCTAGATATAGACTGAATGAGATAGGAAAAATGTTAATATAATGTGAACTGAAAGTCCAAATACGAAATTCACATGTTTCTGAGTCAGTTTTATTAAACTTTATGGATGAGCTAAAGGTATATATCAAAATGTTAAGTGTTGAACGCTATATGGTATGATTATACGTCTTATTTTTATGCTTTTCTACAGTCTCTAGCTTTTGTACAATAAAGATTATAATCAGAAAAGAATGACAATCTTATTAATATTTATTAATTCATTTAACAAATAGTTGCTATGCCCCTATTCCATGCCAGGCCTTGCGCTAGGGACTGACTACACAATACTAAGCAAAACAGACACTATCCGGCTCTCCTGGACTTATTATCTAGTGGACTATAAAATGCAAAATGGACTTTTACAATAGACTAGAACAAAATAAAACAAAAAGGTCAAACAGCTATCAGGAAGTAGGGGACTCAAGTATCCTCCATAAGGATATGAGAAGAGGGACCATGGAAGCTTGGAGGCTGGGTCCAGCCTGGGGGGAGGGGGAGTAAATTTGACCCCAAGCCTTGGAGGGAGTGAATGAGTAACTTTATGTCACGAGCCTGGCACATGGGTCCTCAACAAAAGGTAACTTTCAAGTGAGCAGGGTTCTAGGAGATGAGGCAGGGAGTGGGAGGTAAAGGGCCTGAGGGGTCCTCCCAGCCAGTGGGCACAGGGCGCCAGGATGTGGACGGCAAGCAGGACGAAGGCACAAGCCCAGCCTGACAGGAGCGGGGCACACACTGGGAAACTGGGGACGCGGTAGGGAGTGAGGCAGCAGCAGACCTAGAAACAGCAACCCTTGGCATCTAAACAGGAAGCAGTGTCATGACTTAGAAAGAAGATGCCATGGAGGCCAGAGAACTGAGTTCAAATCTTCGCTACTCCAGGCTACTCCACCTGAGCGTCTGTCAAGTAGGAACGGCATCGCCTACCCCAAGGGTTGCTCTGGACTGAAAGAAATTACTTTATGAGGCTCAGCGCCTGTTGCTGTCTTGTTCATCACAGCAGTCCGAGCCTGGGCACAGAGCCTGGACGAGTGACGGCTAGGTGACTGGGTAGATGAATGATGGACGGACACACTGAGGAACTGAAGGACAGAAGGATGGATGGGACACTGGATGGACAGAGGCAGTCATGGTGCAGATGCCAATGAAGCGATGGCAGAAACGCAGGGCACCAACCTCAACAAGTGTTCCTCCCACAGAAAACAAAAGCCCCCCAGGTCCCCCTGGACCTGACCTCTCAGCTTTCGTGGGCTATTTCCAGGTTCCTCGTTTCAGGGTCTTACTGAGGACGTGTGCCACTTGCCTCCCAGCGCCCGCAGCTGACACGTCCACTCCTGCCCCCAGTGAGCACCTGTCTCCCTCCAGCTCTGTGCGTCAGGTTACCTTTGTTTCTAGCTCTTGGCTTTTGGAGCTGGGAGCCTCTTGGATCTGAGTGTCCATCTCAGCAAGGAGCTTCTGGCCCTGGCCAATCTGCTTACAGAGGGCATCGTAGTCCTCAATCAAGCCCAGGACGTGACACCCACTCTTGCTGGCCCACAGGTGGTGGCCAGGGACCAGATGGGACGTGCATGGGGTGCTGGTGGCCGAGCTGACACTGACGCAGGAAAGAGAGTCCAAGTCATTTGCAGAGAGCAGAGGACTCTGTGAAGCTAGAGGGTGAGAGGGAAGATGTCAGATCTACTGGGGCAGCACCCTGCGTTGGATGAGCTGCTTTCAGTGACACTGACGCCAGCTAGGAGGGCTAAAGGCGGCCCTCAGGCCCAAATGCCACCTGACACAGCCCAGGGAGGAAAGAGACTGGGCTCCAGGACCTCAGCTGTATGTCACCCCCACGTGGGGCTTGTTCATCGTGTGGGTGAAGTTCAATTCAATTCAACCAACACTTATCAGGTCGGGCACCCACTCTACAGAAGACCCCCGTTTATACAGATGAGTCAAGCCAGTGGCCGTGGTCTAATCAGAACACAGACACCGTGGGGGAGGTGTGACAGCACACTGCCGCAGAGCCAGGGCTCACAGTTAAACATAAGCAGTTCTCTGTGCGGGAAGGGAGACCAGGGAAGCGACAGCTGAGTTGGGCTGAATAGGTAGCAAGAATTACGCTAAACAAAGGTAAAAGCCTGCTGCTTTTGACTTTGGGATCAACAGGAATCTGGATAAATACTTGTCACTGGGGGCACCAGGAAAGGCATTTCACAGAGAAGTCTGCATTCGTGATGAACCTTATGGAAGTAGCAGGATTTTCACCGGCAGAGAATGGGACAAAGGCCGTCTGGGAAAGCAGAGAGCCACACTGCAAAACCCCAGTGAGAGGAAAGCGGGGACTTTATGCAGGACGGTGACCCCTCTGTGTGAGAATATGAGGCAGAGGGATAAGGCTGGACGCGCCCACTGGGGCTGGATGCTGAAAGCCATGTGAAGGTGTCACACTTTAACCAACAGAGACCCAATGATGACACTGAGTTTGGGAATACCTAGGAACAGATTAAGCTGGCGTGGAGAACGAGATCACCAGCTAGAGATGCTGAGACCATGAAACCCCAAATCCTGGCAAACACCCGCTTGGGACCAGGGACCAGTTTTTCCTCAGTTTAAAATGTCCTGTCAAACCCAACCCTGCCGTAGTTACCCAGACTTCAGCTCTGTACCTGATCTCGGTGTCACTGCCAGGGTGGAACCAAACAAAGCATATGAATTATCAGTTGCCACGGGACATCTGTCACCACCTACAAAATGCAAAATAAGAGAAGGAAAATACACTGTCAAAAGGTTTTGTTTCACTGTCATCAGGATTTGAGAGCGAGAAGGAGAGCTGAAGAGAAATACAGGGAAGTCCCCGACACGCGCAGCGTGCTTCCACATCCTCGCTGGGCAGCAGCCCTGCCAGGCCCTGTGCAGGGCACTGCGGGCAGGAGAGCGGGCCCGGGCCCCTCCCTGGAAGGACCCTCCTGTCCAGACAAGTAACCAGGCAGCTGCCTTGCAGGGCGGTCAGGGCCAAGGGATGGAAGCCTGGGGGCTGTGGGAGCTCAGGGGAGCGGTGCTGACCCCGAGGAGAGACGGAGACACGGGCAGGGAACAAGGGAGGAGCAGGCCATCACAACACTCCCGGAGCAAGGCCATTCCAATGGCTGAGCCCAGGGTGCCCGGGAAGGACGTGGCGGGCTGCCAGGCCAGAGCTGAGAGGTCCGCAGGGACCCTCTCAAGTGTGTGAGGCAGGCAGTGTCCAGCTGAGGACTGGAGGAGTGAGCCCCGAGGCTGCTGCCGCAACCCGAGCAAGAGGGCAGGGCGACCTGACACAGGACGGCAGGCAACGCATTTGCAGCAGTGGAAGGAGGTGAAAGCGATTAGATGATCTGCGACAGTCTCTAATTGAGAAAGCACTTTCACATCGGAACTCTCAGTAGCTCAGTGGGCAGGATGGCACCGCAATTCAGATTTCCCAGAAGAGGAGACCAAGGGGTCTGCCTAGCATTCCCCAGAATGCGGTGGCGGGACCAGGGCTGTGACGGGCGTCGGATGCCCCGCCCAGCTCCTCCCACCCAGGCATGCTATCCCCAGCCAGGGCTCGCCTTCTGCCAAAACAGCAGTCTTGAGAGCAGAGCTTTCAAACAGGTGCCCTTAAATACAGCCCTAAAAAGTCTTTTACAAAGGAAGAAATGCTGCTGCCTATGGTAGCGTTCCCATCTTCACTCGAGGGCATGGAGGACACTGGAGGACATTTCTGCGGAGGCAGCACTGTGAGTTTTGAACACACCCTCCTGGATGCCTCTTACCAGGCACAGCCAGGGCTGACCCTGCACAAATTCCATAAGCAGGCACAGGCTGGTCGATGGCCTCCTCACCTGAGCTGCCCCAGCTCCCTCCTGGGCACCCTAAGCGCCGAGCTGTTCTCCTGGCTCCGGTCTCTCCTAGCCCGCCCCACGATCTCCTTGGCCCCACCTCCGCAAAGCCCTCAGAAGGGCTGGGAGCAGGCCTATAGCTGAAATGGCAATGCCCACTGCTAATGTAATCCCATGCAGACGGTGGCAGCATGGCACCCTCCCGGCCCTTTGAGGGTTCCCTAATAGGGGTTTATCCTAAGAATACTGTGCAACACCAAAAACCACTTTCACATCCACATTTACTAAAGCTCCTAATAAGAGGCCACTTTAATAATCACCAGGGTAATGGTCTGGTGACTATCTAAAAATAACCATTAGGAAACATTTATGATGTAGTATTGGGCAAAAACAAAAAAAAGGACACAGAATGGCACAAAAACCAATTTGAACACTATAAATTCATGTCTACATTTGATTATCAAATGAAGGGAAATATACAAAGTAAAAAAAAAGTATCATGTTGTAGATTAATGAAAGATTTTTTCCCCACTTTTTTTTTCATATTGTTGCATCGTCTTTTTGGTTAAAATTTTAAAATCCTTACCAAGGAGAAACCAATGAGCCAATCACCACAAGCTCCAAAGCAGAGTGACTGGGTGCTCATCAAGAGATTTTAAGTTTTTAAGGCGACAGATATAGCTCGCAATCCGAGTAAAGGGAAGTCCAGCCTTTCACGTAACGCTTCTTTATAAAGCGTCTTGACACTCCTTGTGCCACTGGATGCGAGCAGCAGGACCGTGATCCCCAGACACCTGAGGCTCGGTGCTGCAGGGGCCACACTGGACTTGGAGCTGAAAAACAACTTCTAGGCCCAGCCCCACCCCTGCTTGTGCCACCTGGCGCAGGCCCAGTGCCCTCTCTGGGTCTCGGTTCCTCCATCCATAGCGCGGAGGATGGCCTGGCCGACTGCTTGAGCCTGAGCATTGTTCCAGGCCCTCTACTGGGCAGGTGGCAGAGGAGTGACCGAACCCAGGCTTGTCCTCTGTCTGCCATCCTCAACAGGCCACGCAGGGCCGGACAATAAACCCATAAGCAGATGCAAAACAGAGCCAGTTTTCTTACCTACCAGGATGCTTTTCTGATCCTGAAAAACACTGACAGCCAGAGGAAGAGGTTTACTTCTCTTTTAAAGTCCGTAAGAGGGACTGAAAAGGATTTCCAGCGGTGGAGTGATGTGGGCAGGACTAAATGGATGGGAGGGAGCAAGACCAGAGGCAGTGAGGGCGGCTGGAAGCCCATCTCCACCTCCCCGAGAATCAGGAGGCCCCACACAGAGATCACACCATTTTGCCAAAGGTTGACAGCTTATTGGTGGTCACGTCACCTGGCTCCTGGAGCAGAGCATGTCTGCTGACAATGGAAAGGCACCATTCAGAAGCTCACAGGTCCCACACCGACGCACAGGGCCGCGCTCTGTAATCTAACAGTGAGGAGAGGCGGGAGCAGTACCATGGTTGTGGAGCTGCAGAGGCCGCTCAGGGGCAGGGAGGGCTTGGAGAGCCATAGTGAGTGCTGCTTCCTGCGCCTTCTTCTCCCCGTTCGCCAGCTGCTCCTCCAGCCTGCTCTGCAGCGCGCTGTTGGTATCGATGCTCCTTTCCAGTTGTGCCCGCAGAGCCTGGACCTCTGTCAGGAGGCCGTGCAGGTCACTGGCAGGGTCCTGCCCCTGCCAGCCTTCTCCCGTCGCCTCTGCTCTGGACTCTGCAAACACGTGCGAAGGGAAGGCTTGACATCTGCCACCACCAAAGGGTCAGCCGTGCAAGGAGCTCGACAGAGTTTTACACCCGCCACCGTCATCGCCCTCCCCTTCCTAAGAATTAGGTACAATTTAAAATAACAACTTGACTTTAAAAACAAAAATATTGGCAGACTTAATTGCTGCTATTCCACAGGCTAAATAAGAGCTGGAAATTAATTTTTGCTTCTGGCCATAAAAGCTTAGCAAATTGCACACCAAACCCCGAAATTATGTCTAGTAGTAATAAAACCTATTTGGACTGGAATTACAGAATGAAAAGGGGTTGATTTTTAAGAGCCACAGTATATTAAAAAGGCACAACAGCAAGAATAAGAAAAAGTAACTGAGGAGAAAAATGAACACTGTGAGGTGACCCTTTTGTAGATAAACTTTCAGTAGAAAGAAACCATCTGGAAAATTAGTTTAAGAAATAAAAACAAAACCCCACCAGAATTTATTTGAAACCCTTTGAGTTTACAGCCAAGTTACTCTGACCCGGTATCTCTCTCAGGATACAGAGAGGCCCAGGGCCAACCACCCTTTCCGGAGCAATGTCCAATGTGGAGTAGGTGCTCCACAATTATGTGCTGAATGAATGGGCGAAAAGAAACACACACTAGCAAGAAAATGACGATAAAAGTTATTTTTTGAGTGCCTACTACATGCCAGGTAATATGCAAGCATACTTTGAATGAATGAGCTCATTTAGTTTTCACAACAACTCTACAAAATAGATATCAGTAGGCCTGTCTTATAGAGGAAGAAACTGGCCCAAAGGGGTGAGGTGACCTGCCTAAGGCCGCGTCGCCAGGAAGTAAGGCGGTGACAATCCAGACCTCAGCTGGCCTGGCTCCTGAGCCTAAGTCCTTCTCGTGCTTCCTGCGGTGTTTTTAGAAGACAGGGCCAGAGACCTTGCTTCAAAATGTACCTAGTCCACCCAGGAGGCAAGCGTGGGTTTGATGGCAGCATTTCAGGAAAGCGTGCTGCACCCGCTGTGTGGATGGGCCAACAGCCCGAGAACAGGGCCCCAGCTGAGAAGGGCCCTGGACCAGGGCGCCCAGTACCTCTCGGGATCCTGTGCTCCTCATCCAGCTTCTCAAACACCTTCAGCTCCACTCGGAGCGACTGGAGCAGCCTGTTGTTCTGGGCGAGCAGCTGCTGCCTCCACTGCACCTCCTCCTGCACCCTGCGAAGGCCCAGCGCGGGGGGGGAGAGGTTAGCTCGAGCTTAAAGGGACTTACTCAAACCCCACAGGGCGGGCCAATTCCACCCGCAGCTGGAAGTGTGGACCAGAGTGGCAACCGTGGTTAGGAATTCCAGTCGCAGGCACGACTGCCCGAGTGCCCCTCTGGGCCCAGCCCTTTACGTACGTTACCGCATGCAATCTTCACAGACACCCTAAACGCTATGTGCTATCTAAGCCTCATTGCATGCATACGTGGAAGTGAAGCTCGAAAAGGATGTGTCTTACCCAGGGTGCACGGCCCGGGAGAGGGGCCAGGCCTGTGTGATGGCAAAGACAGTGACCTTGCTTGGTCACCGCGCCCCCTTGGGGAACTGAGAGTGATGTTGGTCACTCTAAAACGAGGGGGCATTCACGAGTGCCGACAGGAACAACTGAAGGCTCGTGGGACGAGGCAGGGTCTAAGGGAAAACTGCAAAGAGCAGCTGGTACGATCCTTTTAAAATCCAAGTCAGACTCACGCTCCTCCTCCACTCAGTATCCTGCCCAATGGCTTCCCATGTCGCTCAGAGTAAAAACCAAAGTCCTTTCCACGCGACAAAGTCCTACATGATTCGGCACCCAGCCGCCTCTCTGCCCTCACCCCTACCACGCGCCGTCTCTCCTTTAGTTGCACTGGCCACCCTGCCCTGCCCTGCAGAGGCCAAGGACACCCAGCCTCGGGAACCTTACCCTTTCCTCCAAAAATGATCTTTCACCAGATATGTGCAGCTCTCACACCCCCACTGCCTTCGGGTCACGGCTCAAATGGCATCTATGCAGAGAGCCCTTCCCTGACCCACCCAGAAAAACAGCAGCAACCCGTCCCATAGGCGCTATCCTCTTGATGCAGACGACCTGTCTCCATGTGATTCCCGCCTGATGTATGTAGTAGGTATCTGCGTGCCTACTGCCTTACTGACCATCCCTGCACCAGGGCAGGGGCTGGCACGCCCCGTCCCAGGACGCCCGGCACGGGCGCGGCTGCACCCGACCACTACCTGCTCAGCTGGCTGCGGCTGCCACACAGCTCCTGGAGCAGCTGCTGGTTCTGCCTGTCCTTGTCGCCTGCCTCCTTCTGCAGCCTTTCGTTCTCTCCCTTCACACAGGCCAACTCTTGCTGGAGGTGCTCAAGGTTCGCAGTCTTCCTGGAGAGGGACTCGCGCAATTTTTCATTCTCCTTCTGTTTATCTGCAAACACAAAAAGTGCCACTGAGAAGAGGCACCATTTGTTTCTTCCAACCCTATTACGCAAATACAGCACTTCAGCTCGAGCACTCTAAGAATACAAAAGAGAATGAGATTTAATCTGGCATTTATGATTCTGGCATTCCAATTATCTTACGCAGTTTGGGCAGATAAATCTGTCAACATCAAGGCTACAGATTAAACGTCACTGGGATGAAATGGGCCTGTTTAATTTTCTATTAAATAATGGGCTGTGCAAACCTAGTTACTTTGCCTTCACAGAGCACACACTGGGTAGAAATTATAGACAAAAGCAAGAAACAGGCCCCCAACTCTGGCGATGGGTGTTGGAAAAGCCCACGAGCCTCCCACAAGGCCAGCAGGGGCTGTGCAGATGGCAGCATGGGCCTGTTCAGTCCTCAGGCGGGGACGGCACCTCTGCTGAGGAACAAGGCACCCCTGGAGCACAGAGACGGCACTCAAGAGCACGGCTGGGAGGCAGAGGTGTGTTCAAGTGCCCTTCCGCTGACTGACCGACCCCATTACCCACAGTGAGTTTCTTCACCTCCCTGTGCCTCAGTTTCCTCACGTGTATCACTGTGAGGATAACTGGGTAACCACATGCAAAGGCCTTAGCCCACGGCTTTACAAGCACTTGGACGCTGTACGCACTCCACAGCGCGAGCTGCTCGCAGTGCTGGTAGCAGCCAGCCAGCGCGTCTGCAGAGCTAACTGCAGGCATTTCATTAAGACCCTCCCGAGCATCACCTTATTTACTCCATGGTAGGTACTATTATCTCCCTGTTTTCCAGATAGGAAAATGAGGAATGAAGAGGTTAAGACATCCCCCAAGATGCCACAGCCAATCCATGGCGGAGCTAAGATTCAGGCCCAGGTTTTCTGATCCACTCTTAGCCACGACACAGTCATTTCTGGGCACGTTTTCTCCTCCTCCTCAGCCTCCAGCCACACTTAGCGTCGCATAAATTCCTCCCGGTGTTGCCTCACTCCATCACTAACCCCTAAGCGTCTGTCTGCTCTCTTCCTTCTATTTAAAAGGCCCTGGCTATCCGAAACCTTAGGGACCTCGGGTAACCCCTACTTACCCTTCTAGACTCCGCTTTTGAAGACCAGCGTCCCCTGGGTCAGGGTGACATCTCCAGGGCCCTGAGCTCCCTGCGCCTGCCTTTTTCACGGCCAATCTTCACACTGGCTGCCGCGTGTTGCCTGGTTGGTTCTTCCATAAGACCATAAGCCCCCCGAGGGCAGGGGGCTCACTTCTGTATCAGAATCTACACGGACCCTGACATTGAACCGGAGTCAGAAACGCTTGTGGAGTGAATGAACGATCTGCAGAAGCCCTGCTTTCCTCTCTTAACCCCAAATCGGCATGAGTGACCTCTATGTAAAGGGAAGTGAGCGGGCCCGCGTGTCAGCTCCACCACCTTCTAGCTCTGCGACCACAGGCTGGTGAATCCCCTAGGCCACAGCCCTTACCTGTAAAACAGGACTGATAATATGTCATTCCAGAAACATTTTAAGTATCGAGAGGTAATGTATGTGAAAGCTCTTCGGGGGCTGAGCTCCAAACAGAAGGAATTAAGAGTGGGGATCTTTATAAGAAATACTGGGGAAACTTTCCTGAATGTAGGAAATTTCCCGCTGAGATTTTGGCAGTTACATATTCCCAGGCCTTCTCTCTTCCACTGTGAATGAAGACAAATGAGAGGTGGCTGTAGAGAAGGATGGGTAACAAGTAAAGAAAGTGACATTTACTGAGTCCCTATTAGAGACACCATGCTGAGGGCTTCACAGTGTTTAATTGTCACAACAGCCCTATGAGGTGTTCCTGTTTTACAGCGAAGAACGCTGAGGTCCAGAGAGGTTAAGTGACCTGCCCAAAGTCCCAGAGCCACAGGATGTGGACCTAGGCTCGTCAGACTCCAGTGCCTGCACTCTCTCCATGCCACAGAAGGCTGTGGGGCTCCGGGCTGCAGGTGACTCCTGTCATTCTTACCTCTGGAGCCTCTAGCAAGCATTGTATTGAGGGCCTGGTTCTGCTTCCTCAGGAAACGAATTTCTGACATCAGGGAATTATGCAGCTCTGAACCATAAGCAAAAATGTTTGCAGAACCTATAAAAACACACATAAATAGTGATTTGTGGCGAGTCCCCAGGTCAGTATGGAGCTTTCTAGAACACAGTTTTAAATAACGAGGAAACACAACATGGAAAGAAAATCACTCCTGTGAACAACATATGGTATTACCAGAGCCCCAAGGGAAATGAGAGTGAGCTCGAAAGAGGAGACAAACAAGGGCTCCCCCACATCTCACCTGTCCTAAGGGTGAATAAAGGAGGAGACCTGGGCTGGGGGTGGGGTGAGTGGCTGACAGTCTCAACCTCCAGAGGTCCAAACCCGTATATCCAGCTCCCTGCTGGACCTCGGCCAGTCCAGAGCCAAAGCCGAAGTCCTTACCTTCCCTCCCTCACCTTCCACACCTGCTCTCCCTCCTGCTTCCTGCCGCTGTAGATGGTATCACCCACCACTGCCCCTAACCCCAATCAGAAACCTGGGAGCCATCCTATCTCCCCTGCTGCCCAATCAGACAAACCACGATACTGCTCCACTCTTTTCTGGCCCAATAGTTCAGACCTTATCACCTTACCTCCCGGCTACTCTGCCAATGGGGCCACTCATGTTATTCTCTGCTCAAAATCATTTGATGGCCCACCACTGCAAAAGACAATCAAATGGCCCAAACTTCAGATCTCCATGATCCTGCTCCAATTTCAGGGCATACCCCACACCCTCCACCCTGGAACCTAAATCCCTCAAATGCAACTAACCAGGCCACCTGTGTGCCCCAAACATACCATGTGGTCACACATCTCCCTGACTTTGCAGAATGAGGTATTTCCTTCGCCTCAAATGCCTCCCACCTTCTTCACCTGTCAAAACCACACTCGTCCTTCAACTCTTGGCTCAAACTCACTGCCTCTAAATGTTTGCTATAAGAGCAGGGTCTAAAGCTAGACAGACTGCAAATAACCTCCCCAGGCTGTGATCTGTCTCCTGAAATCCTACCCCTTTCTCCGGCTGGACACCTCCCTGACACTCCCTGTCCTCTGAGCTTTCTACGTGTCTGCACCGTATATAATGTTCACGCCCACTGCTGCCCTCTGGAGGGCACCTACGGTGTGCGAGGCGCTTTCTACATGTGGCAGGCAGAAGCTGCCTTCTCCGTTGTCCTACACCACAGAGCCAAATGCCAGACACCTGCTTTCCCAGCCTCCACTGCGGCGAGAACATGGTCACGTGCTACTTCTGGTCAGTGAGGCTTGATGGGAAGCCTGCTGAAGCCTCTGGGGAAGGATTCCCACCCAGATGAAAAGAGAAGGCAGGGCGAAGACCCACCTTCTTCCTCCCTGTGCTCTGGACACCGTCCTGAGAGGGTGTGATGCCTATAATAGCTGCAGTCATCACAGGTACTGAGCCTAAGCCCTGCCATCACTGAGCCATTAACCTGCCTCTGGGTTTCTTGTTATGTAAGAAAACATAAATCCCTATTGTTTACACCAGTTTTTACACTTATTCTGTTATCTGCAGCTGAAAGCTCTTGTAATATTCAAACTCCCTAAAAGGAAGGTATGATATCAGGTCTCTCAAAAGCCGAAGTTCAAACTCCTTCCACTATACAGCGCTCCCTTTTTGTCATGCTAATGATTCACTTGCCACAATGTCATAGGCTTTTCAGTTTACCTATGTCTCTCCCCACCACCTTCCTCCACTCCCCCCTAGGAATTCCGGTGTCTTTTCAGAGACACCTAGGTTTCAACCATGGCTCTGGCCTCCTAATAGCCTCATGGCCTAAGGCAAGTCACATAACTTCCCTAGGTCTCCATTAGCTCAATAAAAATGATCGCTGTTATTATCCCTGTGACCACCATTTGTATTAATATCGTGACTGGTGATAGGCTGGAGCCAAAACAGGACCAAAGAGCAATCTGGAAGAACAGGAAAAAATTCTACAGGAATCTCCTATGACCACAACTGAAGTGATCACGTTTCAAAAGAATCATCAGGCCAGAGAACAGTTTCTGACAAAGCCTGTGCTAGCGGGTCCACTTTTGGTGCTCAGAGGCCAGTCTTTCCTCTGACTGACATCACTGGAGCTCATGTAACTGATGATAAGCTGGAAGATGTGATCTGTGAGATGACAGTTTTTAACAACACTCCACCTCAACATTACCAGGAGCCGTGTCTTTCTCAAACCTGCTCCCAAGATGAACATTTCACAGCAGGGGGGAGGCACAGCCCCATCTATTTCTTTGTCTTTTTGAAGATTGTGACAACATGGTGAGAACACCACGTCTTTCCACCAGCGTAAATACTTTATGAATGCCTTTTTGCAAACCTTCCCGTCAAAGCGAATTACTCTCCAGAGCAATTGCCTGCTCCATGATAGCTGGTGGCTATTTGAGCCCCCAAATAATTCTGTAATTGGATTTGCCACGGAAAATGTAAAACAGAATGAATCTAATTCGGGCATTACCAAGAGTGAATGTGAAGGGCCCGGGCATGTATTTCTTTCCTGTGTCTGATATAACTAATAAATGAGGTTAATCAGTCTCCCTGGGGGGGTGAGGGGGAGGATGCAGAATTGGGGGGGGTGGGGGGTAGAGAGAGTAATGGGACCATTCTGAACCAAACTGCAGCACATGCCATACTTTAGGAAGATGCCCTTCCAGGCTGATGGCTTTGATGGGCTAGAGAGGAATCAGAACCAGACCAGGGGGTCCAAAGATTCCAGTGTAGTCACTGAGTACATCCAGAACTTAGGCATCTCATCTCTAAAAATGGGACTGACATTAGCATCCTCGCCCTTTACTGAGCTTTGCAAGGTTAAACTAGTGATGGTATACACATTAAAACAGTAAAATAACACAGAAAATGATGGAGAGAACAAGCATTTATTGAGTGGAGTGCTGAGCAAAGCCTCATTCACAACACTGCCTCATTTAATCTCACAGTGACTCTTGTAAAATAATTAAGACTGGAGAGGTGGGTGACTTGCCCAGAGTCACAAAGCTAATACACAGGAGAGCTGGGGTCCACACCCAGGACGTCCAATCCCAAACAATCTCAAGTTTTTCCCAGTTCACAAAGCCGCTCTCAAGACACATTCTTCACAGAATGAGGACACTCTCTTTGGAACAATAAGAAAAGATGTCCAAAATATATTGTTTGATAGATAAAAAGGGGACAGAATAGTGATATAAAGCATTCTACCTTTGGGGTAAGTGAGGCAGGGAATAAGAACATATATTTGTATTTACATTTAAAAACCACTATTTGAGGATTCAGAAGAAAACAAACAAACAAATGTGGGAGGAGAGAAGGGTAGAATAGAATCAATGGACACAGAATGGCGTTATTAATTTTTCAATCTTGTGACTGTCTTACTCATGGAAAAAAAATATTTTAAAATTCTTCATGGAAGAATATTCCATTCCTGTGGCCATGCAGGAATATTGGAGACCTTTTGACTGGCATATGAGATTCACCAGACCGCTAAAATGCTAACATTTTTATAATCCATTATTAACAAAAAACAAAATACTACTTTGTTTTATTTTAAAATGCCTATTGCACTAGAGCTTCCAATGCGAACGAAGAGCCAACCACAATTCAAGATGTCAGAGGCCAGCGGACTTCTCCAATGACTGGAAAATTAACATTTATCAAAGTACCTGCTTTGTGCCAGGGACAGTGGGGGAGACTACTTAATGTTAGCTCACGTAATTCTCATCACAACAAGATAAAACGGAAGTTGTTATCCCCATTTTACAGACAAATTACTCTGAGAGTCAGCAAGGTTAAGTGAGGTCTCCCTGGAGGTAAGCAGCAAGGGACGGATTTGAACTGCACTCTCTCTGGCCGCAAGTTGGATGCTCCTCCCAATATACAGAATGTTTCTCCTGTAGGCAAATGCATCCCTAATGAAGCACCCACAGGCCTGCACTGCCCTTGGGAAGGTCCTCCTTACCTTGATCAAATTCAGACCCTCGCCGTTCCAGCTGTCTCCGAAGCTTCTCATTGGTCTTAATAGATTCTTCTAAACGTTTTCTCAAGCTTCGAATTTCTTGTATGTGCTCCATTAGCAGGTCTACAGGAAGGAGGGCATTTTTAATTTCAAGTCTGAAGCCCCGACAAAGTGAATAATGTCTAGATTATACAGTGATTGTGACATTCCAATGGTCTGGATGTATTTAGACAGTCAGCAACTGGCAATTCCTTCCTCGGGGAGTCTGAGCAATTGCCCACAGCCCACAGGCGCAGTTCTGTAGTGATTCTCTGTAGCCCTCCATAAGCAAGATGTTTTAAATCACACAGAAAAATTATATTCCATACAATTTTAATGCTAACTCTAATGCAGGCTTTTATTCTTCTAAATATCAAATATTAAAATCTTCCTTATGGTGAAACTAACAGATCACTTTCAAGTCTGCTTGAATTGCCTGAGAGTTGATTAAACTACCTTCATCAGGAATTTAGATATTTTCAAGACTAATTCTTTGAAAGGAATATGTTTCCTTTCGTTTATCACTTACTAATGTAATACTTAAAAACAAAATAAAACAATAATCTCAAAGCCAGTGAGAATGGTGAGAAGAGTACTCTCAAGGATACATCCTATTCTGTGAGTATAAATATATATGACTTTTGGAGACTATTTCCATCATTAGCCTTAAAAACGTTCTTTCCAATGTCTTTTACTAAATCACTCTACTTTTAGGAATTTATTTAAAGAGATCATCAGAAATGCTGACAACCATTTGCCAGAATGCATGAAAATGTTCATTTTGGCACTACATACAACAGTAAGAACTGAAAATAACTCCAATTACTAAATAAAGTGTATTATATCCATTATGATGTAGTATTATACAGTTATTAAAATTATATTTTGAAGACCCTATAATATCAGGGAAAAACATAGATACAAAATGAGTTAGCACAATCGCTCTATTTAAAAACTTACAGATAGGAACATATGTATACAAAAGAAGGAAACACACATAAATATTAACAGAGGTTGCCTTTGGGTAGTAGATTTTAGAGTTTTCAAAACTTTTACATTACATCTTAATACTATATTTAATAATATACACAAATTTAAATTTTCCAAATTTCCTAAATGAGTGTGTGTGTGTGTGTGTGTGTGTGTACACACTCACTTAGGAAATTTAAAAAGTATATATATATATATATATATATATATATATATATATATATATATATATATATATATATATATATATATATTTTAGCCTCTGCCACACTTCACTCTAATAAAGAAAGAAGGATATTTCCAATCTAGAGGTAGGTTTCTAGAATCAGTGTTGAAAGCATAATCACATTAAGTATCCAAAGGCAAAACTAATGTCTTTAATTCATCAATTAGGCTATACTCAGTGTGTCTTAGTAATGTTTGTTTTAAAACATTCTACTAATGTTATGACCCAGTTTTAATCCCCCCCAAACGACTTTCATTTGAAAGTAGCACAATGTTACAGATCTTTTCTTAATTAAACAGTAATTTCGCCATGAATCTGAATGTTTGTGAGATGACTGAGATGACTTCATTCCCAACCCTTCAGCTATCTCCTCGTCACGCCAGGCATGTGGCTAGTCACTGGCTAGAACGTCCGAGGGCCTCGCTGCAGCCCAGCAATGAAGCCCCCCTGTCTGCAATAAACTCCAGGCACAGCACCGCACCCCACCTGCCGTTCCTGTCGTGCGGCCCTGCAAAGCTTCCAGGGGCTACTCAGATTGGAGCGAGTGAGTCAGGAACTTCGCTCTGACTGCAGCCTCCCTGGCTGGCTTACCCACGTCACACGCTGCCGGCTGCTGGGGAAAAATGCCCAGCAGCCATTGGTACAAGTCGTCTTGTACTGAGTCTGGCCCGGAGCTGTAATCATCACTTGGGCTTAAGGAAACGCTCCCAGTCGAATTGGACACCACTTATTAATTATGCAGCCGTCACCAAGGAGAAGGAAACACTACACTTGCCTCTACGAAGGGGGAGAAAAATATCTGACCCTCTTACAATGATACCCTTCTGAAAAATGCATCCTCTTTAAAAGCATAAAGCCTGTTAAGAAGCAACCACCGAAAACATCGTGTACATGTTGCCTAGCCATTCCAATTTACAGAATCTAGGTGAAGAAAATGCCCCCCAAATAAGGGGGAAGCTTCGTGATCAAACATCTATCCTGCAGCACGGTTCGCAACTGTGAAATTTTAGAAATGACTTAAATATTTGCTCAGTAACAGGGGAACATGAGAAAAACTGCAGTTCAGCCATTTCAACGGACTGTTCTAAAGCCACTAAAAATGATGTTATGTAACAACACGTCAGAACGTTTGTGATATAAAGTGAAAAAAGGAAAAATGCAAAATTATCTCTCTACCCAGATTACAAATACGATTAAAAAAAAATGCAGAGACAACGTCTGAAGACAAACCAACCGAGAAAGCTAACTAACAGCAGGTTTGCCAGGATGGCTCCAGTGAGCACTGCCCCCACTCAGGAGAATGCCCAGTAATCCATGAGGAGGGCACGGGAAGCCCAAGGCCACGGGTCCTCCGAGGAATGAGAAATAAAAGGAGCCTAAATGGTTCTAACTGGAGATAAACCGAGGTTGGTGTGGCGGGAGGAGTGGAGGCTTCAAAAAAAGAGGGGCAGGCAGGAGGACAAAGCGGACGTGCCCAGGACCACAGCAGGAGGACTCTCAGGAGCAGGGTCTCAGTGCTCCGATGCAAATGAGCTGGCTTGCTGCGCAGTAACCCCGGCCGCCAGTTCCTCACACCCCCAATCAAGTCTGCTGTCCCACAAAGGCCTGTGCGAGTGGTCACGGGGGTGCTTGGGAAGGGACTGAGATCCATGTCACACTGACAAGTGCAGGAGGTGGCACCAGGGACAGGAAAACAATCTGTGACCTGACCTAAATTAGGAGACGGCAGATCGTCTCCTAATTTACAGAAATTCACAGAAATCATGGAAGGACACTGCCAGAAATCCAGAGGAAGCAAATCTAGGCGACTGGCTCCTGGAAGGCCCCAGCGTATACCTGAGTTACATCCAACATGTACACTCATGTTCTAGGCATGTTTGCAAACGTGCTTCACTGGGCCCTGGGTGTCCTAGATGAGCCTGAGGGGCCCCGTGGCTCCACTTGTATCTCTTACATACTGGGCAGCCATGTCAAGTTGCATCTGAAAAAGCACGGGGGGGAGTCTGTTGCTAAAAAAAGATTAAGAATATTTGAAGACCACTGTTGTATGTGATTAGGTGTCAACAGAGAACTTTAGCAAGGAGGTGCCAGTCAGATTTGTGCTCTGGGTCCAGCTGGGTGCCTCGCAAACAACCCACTGGAAGAGAGGAGACCAGAAAATGTCAGTTGAGGTCCAGAGTCCATACTAGTGGTTAGAAGACTATGGCCCCTGGGTCAAAGCCACCCACCACCTGCTTTAGTAAATAACGTTTTATCAGAACCCAGACACATCATTCGTTTAGATTGTCTATGGCTGCTTTTGGCTGCAACAGCAGGATTAAGCGACTGAAACAAAGACCATATGCTCTGCAAAGCCTAAAATAGTGACTGCCTGGCCATTTATAGGAAGAGAGTCCCGACCCCTGGTCTCTCTGATCTGGTCTATACTATTCCTTGAACTTCTAAAATACACTGAAGTATATATACACTGTGCTCTCTACCTATTACCCAACAGGAGGTAATCAGCCTGCAAATACAGAGGAGGTAAATAAAGGGGAGCTTAGGGAGGCTGATTCTGCCAATTGAGCCCACGGCTCCAAGGTCAGAGGCAGGACAAGAAGCCGACCCAATGCGCCAAGGGTTACGCGAAAGAGAAACACAGCAGACTTATAGAATTACAAAATATCCAAACGGGGGGTTAGGGACTCTCAGGGCACCGGCACAGTTCTAAACAGAAGAGTCTTCCGAGCAACTCTGCTTTAGGAAGAGCTTGAAAGAAACGAAGGAAATTCACCAGACTTGGAACTGACCCATAACCTCAGTGCTCTCCAGCCTGCCACTGTTAGAAGAGCAAGGAAATGGCAAGTCACATAATAAGTCACCATTTAAGAAACAAAAATGACTTTTCCCCAGTCACCAACACTTCCCAAAAGCAGCTTTCCCCAGTGATAAACGGAACTCTGAGTGACCAGCACTGGCCATCACAGGACCTCCTTTCATCAGAGAAATATTCAAATGTCACTACACTCTGCTTACTAAGGCAAGGTGACAAATTGTTTCAACCAGGAAACCTTGGCTAAGTTTAAGATGCTTTGTAAAGCTTAGCTCACCTTGAGAAAAGTTGTTCGCCAGAACTGAAGTCTTCTCGGTCTCGCTGTCTTGCTTCTGGTCTCGGTGGGAGGAGGAGGACTTTTCGGACATTTCACAGTCGGACAATGAGTGAGAGGCTGAAGGCTGGGGAGACTCAGGCAGGATACGGGGGCAGCTTACGCTGTCTTTCTCAGTCCTCGACCATTGAAAGAGAAACCACTTTTCACACTAAGGGCCTCAGGCAGGACCACGACTTAAGGACACTTAAGATTATTGGACTGTTTGTAATTTCCCCATTACTTGCAATTCTAGTTTGGAGCACTTTTCATTTCCTACAGCATTTTTTAGCAAGGATATTCTAAAAACAAAAAGTGCTCAGTGTGCTTGAGTTAGGAGCCAATGAAGACGTGGGGAGCCACCGTCTGTCTGCCTTATGGGGGAAGGGCTCCAAGCGAGGACATGGTCAACGGCAAGTGTTTACCAAGTGCAGGCACCGTTCCAAGCATGTTCGCCATGATGTCTGACTTGGTCCTCACAGAAGCCCTTTGAAGTATGGAGCGCGGTCCTCTTAGAGTCGGGGAGACTGAGGCTCATCATAAACTGGCCAAATGTCTCCCAGCTCCCAAGTGGCAGAGCTCACAGGTCTGTCTGCCTTCAAGGCCCCAGGAGCATGAGAGAGGCCACCCTAAACCCATGAAGTGGCCTTATGGGTTTAAAATCTCAAAATCCTCGTGGTCCCCAAGCAGGTCCCAATATCACCAGTTTGGCGATCATCTGGTTATTAATGTGCATTTCATTAGGCATTTCCCACCTATAAGCCATGATGAAAAACACCTTGAGCTCTGTGAAAAGCCCATGTGAATCTCTATTATAGATAAGCTACTTAATTTAAGCTTTTTTCTCTCACTTTTTCCTATTACTTCCTGTCTCATTATTCATAAGCTCAAACAAGAGCAAAGGACTCCAAAGCGGCAATGCATTCATTAACAGGTAAACACCACATGCAACTTGGCTCAGACAGCGTGATGGATGCGTGGGCTTGCTGCTGCCTTGCAACAGTGCGAATGGGCCAAGGGCACCCATTTAATTAGCTTAGGAGTGACCCGGGTGAGTGCTAAGCCTACAGCTGAAAAGGTAGAACAGAAAAAAAGAAACAAACCTGTCAGAAATGGAAAGGGTGACACACGCATGAGGACAGCTGGAAGGGGCTCCCTGCCTCCCTCCGGCACATCCTCCAAGAACCACAGTTGTCTTTCAACATGGCAAAGCTGATCGTGCCTAGTCCCGGCTCACCCTCCTTCAAACACTCCCCTCTTCTACAGAACAGAATTTGAGGACCGGCCCTGCCTGCCCCTCTAGCCTTGACCTTCACATTCCAGGCTCCAGCCACACTGCTCAAAGGGGCCATGTCTCCCTCGCCTGGAGCATGGACGCTCTCCCAAACAACCTCCGCTCCTTAACTCGCAGCCTTGAGACCTCGACTAAGACTGCCTCCAGTCTGGGAGGCCTTCCTTGCCCTCCCCACAGCCTGCCAAAGCGATGTGATCTGATATTATAAGGATAAAAGTGGAGGGCTGAACTGGGGGGGGATCTTTGAAAATACTGTAGTGAGAGAGGAGTGTTTCTTGTAAACTTGCAAAGCCCTGAATAAAACATCCTCCAGTGAGCGGTGATTACTCCCTGCTAATGATGCTGGTGGCCTTCATGATGCAATAACCACTTAAATTATGCACCCCAGACTGGTCTATTTCTTTCTTTTACACCCAGGAGCCCAAAGGGCTACAGTTCCAAAGAGGAGGGAAGTACCCACAGCACTGATAATATTCAGAACTTTTAACAAGGAAACAGGAGGGCAAGGCCGTGACATTTTCAGGTGGCCACAGAGGTAGGCTAAGAAAGGATACAATCCATTCATCCCATGAACATTTTGTGAATTCTAACTACATCCCAGATACTTGGGGCTGGAGCAGGTATTAAAAACACAGTCTTTGCCCTCAAAAGGCAATGTGAAATATCAATAACAGCCCAGGCACTAAGGTACAACAGATTCAAGTTCAAATCCCAGCTTTGCACTTCATGGCAAGTGTACAACTCTGACCCTCAGGCTCCTCATCCTAAAATGAGAACTATCATGCTCACCTTGCAGGGTCAGAGAGAATGACTGTGAATGCCTGGGGCAGTCGCTGGCACACACCAACACCCAGCTAATGCGAGCTCCTTTCCCCTTTCGAGGAATTCTGGGAGCGGAAAGAAACATGCAGCAAGTATTACAGTACCGTGTAGTAAATGCTGTGATGTAATTATGTGTCAAGTGCTACAGGAAGAATAACTGGTCCAGGGATGCTGTACAGGGAAGGGGGTGTCGGGGAGACCCAGGGTCATTCCCAGTGCACTGACCCTGAAGAAGGGTTTTCAGACTCCCAGGGGAAGAAGGCAGAGTGTGCAGCTGTGCAAAGGCACGGTCGGGAGAACAGCAGTCGGGTAAGACTGAAGCAGGGGGTCCATGATGGCAAAGAAAGATGGGTCAGACTGAGCAGGGCCTCGTATGCCAGGCTACGGAGTCTGCAATTTACTCTGCGGGTACCCAGGGGCCAACAGAAGGAATGTGTCATCTGGGTCAAATCATCCAACAGAGAAATGCCACGACTGACCCAAAACAACTGAATAAAGGCACGAACCCTTGCTTTTGTAGAGCCACTGCCCGTTTTGTGGGTGTTGACGCTTTATTTACAAGAAGCAGGAAGTTAAGAAAGGTGGCGAGCTGGAACGCTCAGAAAGCCGCCAGATGAAACAAACCACAGTCTTCTTACCAAATGCTACACTCACCTCTCCAGCAGCTCATTCTGGGCGCTCATTTCCACTCCAGCTGATTTCCCTGGAAGCAGAAATCACTTTAAGAAGAAGAAAAACATTTTTTTTTAACAGTGTTCCCTAATAATTTCTTGCTCATACATTTGCAGACACTATTCCATTAAAGACTCTTAATACCCATGCTGGATATTTCAAGTAGGGTTACCAAGAACACGACTCAGGCTATAGACCCCTTCTCACTTCTCTGGCACTAGTGCTTGTAGGAAGGTGACAACATTGATTCTACAAAGCAATCACAAAGGCACTGCTGGGAGCAGGTTCTTTCTCCTTCTCTAAAACCCTGGTACTAACAGCGCACATGCTCACGACAGCAAACGGGTCACAGAATCAAGCAAAAGAAGACCTCTATCCCCCAGGTACCTACCACAGACATGTGACTGGATTTCCTTCCATTCTTTTTCCATGGGTGACATGGTGTTGGAACTTCATTGTTTTACTTTATATTAATAGTTTATTATAAGCCTTTCTCTTACTAAATTTGCTTTAGAAACATCTTTTTTAATGACTCCATTAACAGCCCATTGTAGGCACGCACGTACCAGGTTGGTCAGTCCCACGTGGACGTTTAGATCTTCTCTAATTTCTCACTTTTATAAAACTAAGTGAAATAAAAATCTTTGTGCATACAGCTTTATCTGCATTTAAATTATTTCCTTAGGAACGATTTTCAGAAGAGAGATTACTAGAGAAAGGCGTATATGAGTGTGGTTGAAAAAGGCAGTGTCTGCAATAGAGGAAAATGACTAAAAGAAATGACAACAGAAAACAAAAGAAAACCAAACACAGCCGGCAAAAGATGCTCTTCGCTTTCCTGCATGTCATCTCATCATTGGCTGTTTGAAAGCAGCCCAGATTTCAGAGACTAACAACTTTATTTTTAAAATAGTTCAAAACTCTGGAAATTGCAAACTGGTATGAGCTGGCTCTTTGGAGAAACTAACGTGTGGCTAAAGAAAGAAAGGAAAAAAAAAAAACCAAACCCTTCTATAGCTGTACTTGAAAAATGAGATTATAATTAAACTACGCCCACACATACCATTTTCAAAATTACTCCTAAAAGGAAAAGTTCTCAAACACCACGATGCGCAGGAAAAGACCACTGGAGACACACATCTGCTGTGTGTCTTGTGGTTCCCACCTATGAGCTCCCGAGGGGGGGCTGGAGGTGCTGTCAGGGCCCCCTCTCCCTGAACCAGGCCGGCCACTGGGCCCCAATCAGTGCAACGTGGTGAGTGCTTGAAAGTCACCTACTTCTCTCTGCATGGTACTGGGGGGCACCGGGAATGGGTCAGACAGGCCCCCCGAGGACGGTTCTTTCATATCCGCTGCCTCCTTTAGGCCTCACAACTATCCTACAGGCCCAGTATTAGTATTTCCATTTTATAATGAAGGGGTGAATGCCCAGGTTTAATGCTTTCACTCTCTCAGCCCAATGCACACTCTCACCTACTTCACTGCCCGTTCCAGTTCAGCAAGGGACATGGAGATGTTCCCATAGCTCAACCACAAATCTACGTACTCATCCTCTTGGTTACATCCTGACCAAAAACGGTGTGATGTTCTGGCTCCCCTGAAGGGAGGGAGGGGTAGACGGGCCTCCACCACAGTGGATGATCTCACAGGCTCCAACTTCCGTCCTCCACCTTCCTCCTCAGTGTGGGAATCTACATCTGACTGGGTCAGATTCTAAGACCTTGACTGGAAGTCCCAGACTGCACCATGAATGGGCAGGGACAACGGTACATTGAAAGAGCAACTCAGTCGGCGTTTTCCATGCCACATCTGCACTAGGGCTGCTTACCAGATTCAGCACATGGTAAGATTTAGGCCCTACAGACCCTGAAGATGGGCCATCTGCACCAGCCCAGACTCCCAAAGAGCTTAGGCATTCCACACGCTCCAGCCAGGCAAACAGTAACTCCTGCTTCACACTTTACAAACACTGTTCTTTCGAAGCCCAGATATACCACTCAGCAACTTCTCAGGGTAGGGGACCCTTGGTCTGGAGTAGGCTTTCAGCATTCATAAACTCATCTTTGAACCATCAAAACGCTCTGCTCAATTTCTAACAAAACCCGTGACCACAGAAGGAAGCCCGCTGATGCCAGCAGCAGCGTGGGTTTCCTCTTCTTCAAGTAAGAGGTCCTTTGGGGAGCTTGTAAAGACTCAACAACTGTATTCCACCTGTTCCCCTATCACAACAGAGTTCTTTAAAACTAAATGACAAACTATTATTGTGGGATTCACGGGGAGAGCATTCCAACTGATGCATGGAATTTCTGGGTGGAAACTGCCAGCATCCAGGTGACAGGGTGCCTACCATCTGTCAGGCTATCCCAGAAGCTTAGGAAGGATGTTGTGAAGGCACCGCTCTCATCTCTCAGGCGAATCTTACTGCTATACCTAGAAGCTGTACGACAGTGGGGGGACTTCATCTTTCCAACTAAACAGCCATCTAGCTATCCAGCCCATATTTGAACAAGCAAGAGCACTGCTATGCAGGACAGACTCGTAACTGGTTGACCCACCTGTGGTTTCCTCTCTGCACTGACCCATCCTGTGCACTGCCACCAGGTAAAAAGCCTCTTTATGGGGCGGCCGGTTAGCTCAGGTGGTGAGAGCGCAGGCTCATAACACCAAGGTTCCCAGGTCGACCCCCACCTGGGCCAAGGAGCTGTGCCCTCCACAACTAGATTGAAACAACTATTTGACTTGGAGCTGATGGGTCCTGGAAAAACACACTGTTCCCCAATAAAATTTCTTTAAACAACAACAAAAAAATCCTCTTTGGAAACAGTACTCTCTAGCTCAAACCCCATTAATCGCACAGAATTAAGTTCAAATATCATAGCCTGGTCTCTCCTACCCGATCCAAATGTTCCTTCCTTAACATCTCACTAGTAATTTGTATTAAATATTTACAGTGCTTCTCCTAGGTGCCTGCGCCAGTCACTGAGGACACAGAGATGAAGGGGCCATTGTACCCTCAGTGAGTTCGCAACTGAGTGGGGACCCAAAAGACAATTTCCCTACCATGCTGTGACAAGGGGCAGCACGGGGTACTGTGCGAGGACACGCCGCAGAAACAAACATGACCCAGCTAGACCATCGGGGAGAAGTCAGAGGCGGTAGCAAATGGCCTACACCTTTGAGGGAGGAAAGCACTGCTTCATAAAGATCAGCAGCTAAGGGGCTACGTGGAGCCAGATTGTAGGAGTCCTTAGGAGGAAAACCCCTCCATTTTCTCTGTGAGCCTGGTTTGCTGTGCTGACCCTAATTTGCATACCCCACTACCGCTCCTCACATACTCTTGCCCCAAAACTATGAATCCTTCCATTATGGACGGTCAAGCTCCAACGCCCTTCCCTTCTGGAAGCCTCCCCTTCAGAGCTCAGAGGTGCCGCCCACCAAGCTCACACTACATGCGCCAGTCAGAGCAGGAGAACATTTAATCAAAGGGTGCCCTAGAATAAGGTCCCTATTACTTAAAACTACCAGCCCTTAAAACTATCATCAAATCCTCCCCAGGTTGGGAGGCCAGGGCAAGACAAGGCCCCCATCTTGCAGGAGCTTATGCTCTGAGGAAATGAAATATGCCCACAAGAAATCACCGCTGTCACCTTCTGAACTCCCACTATTGGCCAGGCAGAAACTTTAAATAATCTCCTCTCAAATAAGTCTGCAAGACAGGTGCCATTACCTCGCAGAGGAAATAAGACCCTTACTGTAAAGATGGGATTTGAACTCGAGCTGGCCTGGCGCCAGAGGCTCTCTCCTTTCCACCCCAGCACGTGGCCTCCATCACAAGGCCAGAGGGGACTGTCACATGCGAACTACAAACAACCCAGAAGTAAAGAAAAGGAACAGGTTTGGGGTAAACAAGGAAAGCTTCCTGGAGGATGGGCAGAACTTCTAGAAGTGGAAAGGGAATAAAAGCCTTCTAGAAAAGGGATTGGTGGGCCGGCCGAGTGGCACGTTGATTATGAGTTGGCTTGGGACGCCAGCTCTGAGCAGCAGGGCCCCGGTTCGGATCCCACATGAGGGCCAGTGACGCTGCACACTCTAAAGCTAAGATGGTGAACAACAGCTCGACCTGGAGCTGGGCTGCCGTGAGTCGCTGGCGACGGCATAGGCTGCAGTGGGGCTGCCATGAGCTACCGTGAGTGGCCAGCAGCCAGCATGAGTGGCTGGCAGCCGGCGTGAGCTGCCAAGAGCCGCCGTGAGTGGCCATCCAGTGGCCGGCGACCAATCTGCCTCACCCGGGAAGAGCACAATGATAATACCAACATGGGCCAGTGAAGCGACGTCCTCCACAACTAGACTGAAAAACAAAAAGACAGCAACTTGTCTGTTCCCCTTCCCTGATTCCCTATGCTGTTCCCCTTCCCCAATTCTCCAATAGAATCTTAAAAAAAAAAAAAGAAAAGAAAGAAAGAAAAGGGATTGGTTTAACAGCCACAGAAGTAGGGGATGCAAGGCCTGGCTGACAGAAAGGGTTGACCAGGACACCCAATCTGACAGGCATGTGAGACACAGGACATCATGGTGGCCAGGAGATTAGGCTGTGGCAGCAAACTCCCTGAGCTCAGATACAGATTCTGCCCCTTCCTGTGTGGCCTTGGGCAAAAATCAACCTCTCTGTTCCTCGTTTTGTTTGTTTGTTTGTTTGTTTGTTTGTTTAGTGTTTTTTTTTAGCTGAGCCATCCTGCCACCTTTTGGCAGCTCAGCGGCTGCTCAGCTCGGGCAGGACTCGAACTGCTGTTGCTCAGAGCTCACACTCTTGAGCGAGCTCTTAACCAACTGAGCCACTCGGCCGGCCCCCTGTTCCTCGTTTATTAAATGAAGATAAATAGCACCTCTTCATAGGCTGAGAACAATGACTGGCATATAATAAAGACCAACCTTCCTCATTGTTTCTCCATCATTATCATCATCATCATCATCCTTATTATTATTTAGGGGTTAGTGGGCTGGAAAAGGCAAATTGTGGAAGGCCTTGAAAAA